TGGGAATTTATCAAATAATTAATATTATAGCATGTAGATAAATCTGAAAAAATAAACAATTAAAACTGGCCTGAACGGGAGCAGTCGTGTATTCACTGCCCTAGAAGATTGAGACCCCGCCTATCGCCCTGGCGCAGATGGTTCCCTCCCCCCTAGCGGTAAAAACCCCCGGAAATGGCCGGCCTCTACACTCGGGCGAGAGTGCAGAGCTTCAGCTCAGATGAAGAAAGTTGCCCATAAAATAAAACTAAGATATAATGAAAATAATATATGTAGGGGAGAGAAGAGAAAACAAGAGAGACTTCTTGTTATTTTTCTTATCATTTTGAGCTCAACATATGGATATATATAGGGTTGGAAAAGACGTTACAAAACCCGTAATTAATTCTGTAACGTTCGTCATAAATTTTGTAACGTTCGTCATAAATTTTGTAACGTTCCCCATAATTATATATCCGTTACACATATTTTAATTACATGTTTTAATTACAATATTTACATGAAGGCAAAATTGTCTTTTCTTAACAAAATATCTAACAGTCCCCCCCAAAAGGCAATATTGACTGAAAACTTAAAAATCAATAAATAAATTAATAAATCACAAAATGAAAATAGGTTGGGCAACCTTTCGTATCGTGAATTCGGGAGAGGTAGCTTTCGGCTTTGAACCTTTCCTTAGTGAGTTCATCGCCACCTGAGGGACATAATGGACTAGGCCTTGAATTAGGCCCCTTTAATCAGGCATTGATGAAAACACACACAATGCGTTTATAATGGACTAGGCCTTGAATTAGGCCCCTTTAATCAGGTATTGATGAAAACACACACAATACGCTTCATCTATTGAGCAAAGCGGGTTGAGCGTTAAAGGCCATGCTCACAATAAACCGACTCATGAGAGTTTCTAGGGGTTAGCCCAGCCCCCCCTAACCGCGGCCATCACGGTTCCTCTCACGTAGGTAAGTCCTCAAAGGGTACTACAGCTGTTTATTTAATACCCCCCACAATACACGCGTTGGACTTATTAAGAGTAAAACTCAGCCTAGCCAGCTGTATCATAAGAGCATCGTCATCATAGAGAAGGGGTAGTAGCAAATGCTACATAATGATATATAAATATATCTAGGTCGATGCTCCACACGAGTGTCACTAGTCCAGCTTGTTTCTACCACATTGAACCGACATTGGGACTACGTCTCCAAATAAGGGTTGGGTTGCCGCTGTCAGTGACCTCATCTATGGGCTTAACCCCATCTCCCTCGATGAATCCAGAACCACACTCCTGGATAATCCCTTAGTCAAAGGGTCATCAAGATTCTTTTCACAGACTTTACAAAGTCTAGAATCATAACTTTGCCTAGCAGGCGTTGTATTTATTTATCAAGTTCTTATTTTGTAATTAGTCCATCATATTGTTTGAAATTGACATTAGGTCATGATCTATGATCATAAAAGATCATAGTCTATGTCTGAAGAGATTGACCTTAATATCTGAACATTTCAAACTAATGTGGAACTAAAAATTCTGCAGTTATGCATATGCACATACATGAATGAAATTAATAATAGATACATGCAGAGCATAATAGGATTTCGTATCTTAAAATATATTTTCGTATCTTAAAATATATTTCATACTTCATAATTCAAATGCATAAAATTTTTAAATTATTCTATTATAAGAGGTTACAAATTGGTTGCCTACAAAGGAGACCGTCCAAATTTAAATCGGTTGCCTACAAATGAGACCTTCCAAATTTAAATTGGTTGTCTACAAAGGAGACCTTCCAAATTTATGTTGTCATTTTCTAGTACCACCTCTTATACAAATAATAATAATAATAATAATAATATTTGTACATACGTGCTTTAAATTTTACAAGTGCATTCTTGCATAAAACCTTGTAATTAATCATGTAACAAATGCAAGTTATCTAAAAAGACATATGAACATTTATTGCAATATTCATCAAAATGCAATAAAAATGATGAACTTTACATTTGAAGATTTGAAATATAATCCACCATATAAAATAGAATTTTAAAAAATGCACCTCTTTGATTTGGTTCGCTCATATATTGATCATTTATCATTAGGCAATATATGATGCAAGAAACGTAATTAAATAAATGCATATGAAATTTTTTTTTTCATAATTCCGGTCCTCTTATTCCAAACCAAAAACTCCTAAAGTGAAAAGATTAAAGTTTTACTCGGGTAGTTAGCCAGGTAAGGATAGTAATAGAGGTTGATCAAAGATCAATTAAGTACCTCGTTCCTTGCAGAGCGCATTACGCAACCCTTAAACCTTGCCTTAGACGAAAAGATTAAAGTTTTACCTGGCTAGTTAGCCAGGTAAGGATAGTAATAGAGGTTGATCAAAGATCAATTAAGTACCTCGTTCCTTGCAGAGCGCATTACGCAACCCTTAAACCTTGCCTTAGACACCAACTAATCCAAGAAAACTTGAATCGGTTCACTCAATGGATAAGGCCGAGGAGGGGTTTACCTATTGATGTTCGAACCTCATGATTTTCATGTCTTGAGAGTAAAACTCATCTGCTGCAGACAGCTGCCACTTAAGTTGCTGAACAAATCTGCATTCACTTTTACCACCTTCTGTACTAAGCTTATTAGATGTATAAGCACTTCAAAGTATGGAATTATTAATAATAGAAGGTACCATATTCATAGTTTAAAGAAATGAAAGCATTAAACCATAAACAAAACAATCCAGATATTGCAAAGCATCTATGCATCCAGAGTTTGTTCTCTTTATTCTTGTCAAAACCATGCATATGAAATTTTTTTAAGAATAAAAATATACACTGCTGCAAATTTATAGCATTTTTCAAATGCGTGCATATTCACTAGCACAAGGGGATAAGGGTAGGTTTTAGATGATTCTAACAAATATAAACTAGGCTTTTAGAAACCAATAAAGGTTCTTTGATATTCGTAACTTACAATAATTATTGGTTATAAACCAACTATAAGACAAATGTAATTAACAGAAATATTTAACTACAATTTTTTAATTATTTTTTTTTTTTAAATAACCAAAACTGTTTACATGAACAGTAAATTTTCAAATAAAATGAACAGTGCCGTTTTCAAAATAAATGAACAGTAACATCATTTTTAAAATTAAACAGTAACGTCATTTTTTTAAGAATGAACAGTAAACTTTTTTTAAAACATTAAAAACGGTTAAAAATGAACAGTAATGTTTTTTTAAATAAAATTAAAATCTGTTTTTTTTAATGAACAGTAAATTATTTTATAATGAGCAACAATTCTGATTAAATTGCGAACAGTAATAGCAATTTTTTTTATAATTTTTTTTATAATTCGGATGAACAGTACTATCTCAAATGAACAGTAACTTTAAAAATTATTTTTCCGGATTTAAATCAAAAGCTATAAACATCTCAATCTTCTAGATTGTTGGGAATTTATCAAATAATTAATATTATTGCATGTAGATAAATCTGAAAATAACAATTAAAACTGCCTGAACGGAGCAGTCGTGTATTCACTGCCCTAGAGATTGAAGACTCTGCCTATCGCCGCTGCGCAGATGCGTTCCTCCCCCCTACGGCTAAAAAACCCCCGGAAATGGCCGCCCACACTCCGGGCGAGAGTCAGAGCTTCAGCCAGATCGCAGAAAGTTGACCCATAAATAAACTAAGATATAAATGAAAATAAATATACTGTAGGGAGAGAAGAAATACAAAGAGAGATTCTTGTTATTTTCTTATCATTTTGAACTCAATCATATGGATATATATATAGGTTTGGAAAACGTTACAAAAACCCGTAATTTAATTCTGTACACGTTCGTCATAAATTTTGTAAACGTCGTCATATAATTTTGTAACGTTCCCATCCATATATATATCCGTCTACACATATTTTAATTACATGTTTTAATTCAATATCTTATTATAATTCATGCAGGCCAAAAATGCGCTTTTGTTTAACAAACTATCTAACAGAAGCCACCAGAGAGCAACCATCGCGGGTGATGCATATGGCTTTTAAATGTTCCAATATAGCTTTCACAGTTCTTGTGTTCGATTCCGATTTAGTTATCAAAAAACAAATGCACAGAGAAGAGAGAGCAGAGATGAGAAGCAGGAACGGCAAGGAGATGAAGAACTCTTTCTGTCTTTCATAGCTAAGAGGAGAAAGACGTGAGGGTACATATGCGGAGGGTATGGGTAGAGTTAGAACAGTTTTATTATTCGTTTCCCATGTTTTATTGCGAAGATGAATAACAGTTCCATGCCTCGCCTACTACGGACTAATACGGCTAAACCACTTTAACAACATGGATGGCCTATTGTCAGACGGTCAAGCACAGATCAGGTAAGTGCATCTGCGCAGCGTCACAATCTGACGCCAACTCGAATTAATTCCACTTTAGATCGTTGCCAGCCCCCTACTTCTAGTCTTCTCTCGTCGCTTTGAAACATTTCTAACCGAAAATGTATTGACTGTCAAAACTATCATGTCAGAGTATTTACATTCTGAGTACGACATCCGAGGAGGGTTTTCCTTGCCGAAATGTTAAGTAAAAAAATCAAAGATGGATTCAAAACAACATATCTTAACAGGGGTAGTGAAGGTTATCAATGTTGCAGGGCAAGGGTTTTCTCGACTTATATTAATACTTGAGGGGGTTTTTACCAGCGATCCGCTATAGCTGAGGTTTTGTGAAATAACCGCAAAATACAATATTCTTACCTCCCAACAACCCTGACATAAAATGGCGGCATAATGACAACGGCATCGTGCCTCTCTCTCTTCTCTCTCTCTCAAATCCAAACTGGAGCGCAGTGGACGAGTGGGAAGGCGGCACTTCTCGAGCTCTCGCGCCTCCAAACCTCACCCGCTCCACCGCCCCCATCTCCTCCCTCTCCCCACCGCCGCACGACATCGCCTTTACGGGCCACACCGCCTGGGACCGCTCTCCGTCGAGGTCCCTCGACGCCCGCCACCTCGCCGCTGGCTCCAAGAACTCCCCTCCGCGGGTACCACATTTACCAGAAAACCCCTCCCCACTCCGAAAATTTACCATTCCTCCCCTCTCCCCGCAAATGTAAAAATAATTTTTTTTTCCAGGGGGTGGTTCTGAGTTCACCGGCAACGAGGGGAAGATGATCTTGTTCTCAGGGAATGACTATCTTGGGTTGAGCACTCATCCCTCCGTTGCGACGGCGGCGGCCAAGGTGAGAGTGGATGATTTTGAGCTGGGGTTTTAGTGGGTTTTTTTTGTTTGAATTTGTGGGTTTGATTTGTTGTAGGCTGCTTTAGAACACGGGATGGGGCCGAGAGGGTCCGCTTTGATTTGTGGGTATACTAATTACCATAGGTTGTTGGAGGACGCACTGGCGGAATTGAAGAAGAAAGAGGTAAATTTTCGGTATGTGATTGTGTTTTTTTTTTTTTATAAAGTGAATTTTGATTTGGGTTTCTCGTGACTACATTAGTAAGTTAATTGGTGTAAATTTGGTTTGGTTGATGGAAGACGAGCTAAAGGTGGTTGAAAAATAATAATTGAGTAAACATGACTTAATTTAGCTCTTAAAAGAAATAGTCTATGCAGAAATTGAGCTGCATTAATGAATTAAAATTGGTGAGAATTGTGCTGGTAAGGTCATGGATCAATATTTCTTTCCGTAGATGATACGATGGAAGTTAGTAAGGATTAAATTAGGATGTATACTATTCTGCAAAGAGTTTAATGACCAGAGACCAGTGGCAGAGTCAGGAAATTATAATGGTGGTGTCACGGTATATGTAAAAAGACGATATTACATAATTTCTCTCATATTAAATGTAATCAGAACTATAATGACATGCGAAAAGTATATTTAACTAAATGTAATTGCAATTGACCAATCATTGCATAATAGCCTCTTTAAAAATGCTACTAAATATATCATTCTCAACGTAAATTACTAAGGGAGCGTTTGGCAACTAGGGTGTTTTTTTCGTTTCCGTTTAAAAAAAAAGAAACGTGTTTGGTAAATGTGGTGTTTTTTGGGCTAAACCTTTACAAAGCCTAAAAAATAAACACTTTTCTCAAAACACCAAAAATGTGTTTTGAGATCCTGTGACTTCTTTTTTACCCAACCCGATCCCCTTTTCTCCTCCCAACCCTAGCAGCTATGGTTTCATCACCATCACCCATCTTTTTGAGTGCACATGTTAAGACTCTAAAAAGGAGAGCAACAAATGACCAGCTGGGAGTTGGGAGTCACCTCAGGCATGAACTCAATCTAAGTCACGTCCTGCAAATCTCCACCTGGCCGGTCATCCCTCATGTCCCGAGTCCAATTCCTCCTTGGTCCTTAAGTAACCCCCCTTACCTTTATTCACCAAACCACTGTTCCTTCTAGCTTTGGGGGGCGCCGGGGGTGTTGGATGTTATGATTTAATCTACATAAACCAATTTTGGGTACCAGGTGGTTTAGACATGGATTGAGTAGAGAAGGGGACATAGAGCTGACACCGGGAACAAATTCAAGTTAAGTAGATGCTCAGTGAGGTCTCTTTTGGTTTATCAGTGTTTGGATGGTGTTTGCAAGTGTCTCTGGTCTTTAGCAATTAGGAATCGAGCAAATTATCTATCTTATTCAATGTTTATTCTGCAGTCATTCTCTATAGATCTTGGTGATTTCCATTACGATTGTTTTTCACAGTGTTCAATTTTTTTCAGACTGCAAGTTATATTCTGGATGATTTTTTGTGATAAATCTGCTGCTATTTGATAGACTGACTTGCTGTTTGATAGACTGCATGTTTAAAAAATTGTTTGAGACATATATATTTTCTGTTGTATGTTTTCAGACTGCATGTTAAAAAGATTTATGTATGTTCAGTTCATACTTGTGTTGTTGCTATTTGATTGACTGTCTTGGAGTAAGTTTGATTATTGGTATAGCATATAATTTTGACATGTAAAATGACTAGTAAGGTTATAGACTAGTAAGTGACATATTAGAATTTTTTGACATGTAAATTTGAATTATAGGCATTGGAAAAAGCTCCCGAATGGTGGTTGGCAGAATTGGAATAAAAACCCTAAATTATTCATGAGATAACATGGGCTTATATAGGCCCCTACAACTTACAAATAAGCCCCTAAGCCTATTAATATTTCAACACTCCTCCTCAAGATGGGCGAAAGATATCCACTAAGCCCATCTTGTCACATCCTCTAATCATATCTACTGAGTTAAGTCCCTTAGTCAGACAATCTGCTGTCTGATCCTTAGTTGGAACATGACTTAACTCCAGTAGTCCATTGTCCAACTTCTCTTTGATGAAGAACCTATCGATCTTGATGTGTTTGGTTCTATCATGCTGCACTGGGTTGTTGGCGATACTGATGGCTGACTTGTTATCACACCACAGCTTCATCTTGGCTCCTTGATCCAGCTCCAGTTCCACCAGCATACTCTTTAACCATAACAACTCTGCAACTCCTAAGGCCATGGCTCTATACTCTGCTTCAGCTGTTGATCCCGCTACCACCGATTGCTTCTTGCTCTTCCACGAGACCAAGTTGCCTCCTACAAAGATACAATATCCTGAGGTGGATCTCCTGTCATCAGCACAGCTAGCCCAATCAGAGTCGCAATAACCCTCGATGTTCACATGTCCATTCTTTCTGAATATCAGCCCCTTTCCGGGAGCACTCTTTAAATATCTCAGAATCTGGTACACAGCGTCCATATGACCCTTTCTCGGATCGTGCATGTAGCGACTCACCACGCTCACTGCAAAAGAGATATCAGAACGTGTGTGACTCAAATAGATCAATCTTCCCACCAGCCTCTGGTATCTGTCACGATCAACTGGTTCTCCGGCCTCAGCACCTAGCTTGAACTTCTGATCGATCGGTGTAGTTACAGGTTTGCTCCCTAACATCCCTGTCTCTTTGAGAAGATCCAGTGCATACTTTCTCTGGGATAGAACGATTCCCTCCGCTCCTCGAGCTATCTCTATTCCAAGAAAGTATCGAAGCAAGCCAAAATCTTTCACCTCGAATTCGTTACCCAGTCTCATTTTGAGTTGGACAATCTCCTTCTCATCATCCCCTGTAATAATCATATCATCCACATATACCGCAAGCATGGTAATGTGGTCTCCACTCCGTCGAAAGAACACGGTATGGTCGGCGTTGATCTGTTGGTATCCCATACCAATCATAGCCCTTCTGAATCTGTCAAACCAAGCACGAGGAGACTGCTTCAGCCCATAGAGAGACTTTTTCAATCTGCAGACCTTTCTCACTGTCTGATCTGTACCAAATCCTGGTGGTATCTTCATGTATACCTCCTCCACTAGATCTCCATGAAGAAATGCGTTCTTCACATCTAGTTGGTGTAGCTTTCATCCACCATTTACTGCCAGAGAGATTAAGGTCCGAACAGTGCTCATCTTTGCCACCGGTGCAAAAGTCTCATCATAATCGATGCCATATGTCTGAGTATACCCTTTTGTCACCAGACGAGTCTTGTAGCGTTCAACTTGCCCATCTGGATTCTGCTTCACAGTGAAGACCCACTTACATCCAACTGCTCTCTTTCCTTCTGGTAGTTTTACTAGCTCCCAAGTGCGGTTCTTCTCAAGAGCCCCTAGCTCCTCGTGCATAGCCGCTTTCCACTTTGGGTCCTTCTTAGCAACCTGCCAATTGTTAGGTATAGTAACAGAGTCCAATGATGCAATGAATGCTCTATGTGCAGGGTGGATATTAGAATATGATACAAACTGGGCAAGATCTCAATCATATCTATCGGGAGGATGTCCCGCATTGCTGCGAGTAGTCTTCCGTACTGACATTAGTGTGAGAGGAGTAAGGAGAGGAATGATATCACCTTGAGAGGAATCTGATGGTGGTGTAGGTGTCTCAGGAGTCGGGACAGGCGTTGATAAGGGACTTGGCACTAGTGGTACTGTAGGTACTGTTTCTGCAATTTGCTTCCCTAACACCTCCAGTCTCCTTATCCTCTTCTTCTTTATTCTCCTGCCTAACACCTCTTGTCTCCTTATCCTCTTCTTCTTTATTCTCCTGCTCCTCCTCAACCAATTCTCCTTCCCAAGGAATCGTTAGAGAAATCGATTTCTCCATATTATTCTGCCTCTCATCATTCTCCCCTTCTCGTCTCATACTTCCAGTATTGGGCGAGTCACCAACGGATGAGGGTACCTTCTGTGTATAATATGGCTCAAATTCACGAAAGTACACATCCATACTTACGAACAGTCTTTTCTCCACCGGGCTCCAGCAAACATATCCCTTTTGAGTAGCAGAATATCCCACAAATATACACTTCACCGCTTTAGGGGTAAGCTTCCCGACTGATGGTCTGTTATCCTTCACAAAGCACACACAACCAAATACTTTCAGTGGAAGAATCCCACCATTATCTTCTTTCAACGTCTCACACGGAGACTTCCAATCCAGTACTCTCGAGGGTATTCTGTTGATCAGCGCCGCTGCAGTCAACACTGCTTGCCCCCACAATGTTTCTGGGACATTCATGGAGATCATCATACTTCTAGCAACCTCTAAAAGATGCCTGTTCTTCCTTTCCGCTACCCTATTCTGAGCTGGTGTGTATGGACACGTAGTCTGGTGTTGTATTCCCTGAGATGACAAGTATTCTCCAAACACTCTGTTGGTGTACTCTGTCCCATTATCAGATCTCAATACCTTCACCACTGCTCCATATTGAGTCTGAACATTCCTATGAAAGTTTTGAAAGCAGCCAAACACTTCACTCTTATTCTTCATCAGGTATAACCAAGTAACGCGAGAGAAACAATCAATGAAGGTAACAAAATACTTGTATCCATTCATAGAACTTGTGGAACATGGCCCCCACACATCTGAATGTATCATATCAAATGCATGAGAACTCCTATGATCAGAACTAACATAAGAGCTTCTAGTAAGCTTTCCCAACTTACATGCATCACACACAAGTTTCTCTTTATTTGCTTTCTCAAATAAAGATGGATACAATCTACTTAAAACACCGAAAGAAGTATGTCCCAAGCGTTTGTGATGAAGTATCAACACACTCTCAGCACTCATCTCAGATCCTACTCCTGCTCTCTCTACCATTGACACCAAAGCTGAATCTAGCCCTTCACGATCCAGATACCACAGTCCATTACGCCATGTGCCAGTCCCAAATCTCCGTCCTGTCCCCTTCTCCTGAAAGATCACCTTGGGAATATAAAAAAAACAATACATTTTAGTTGGAGGATGATAGAACTAATGGATAAAAGATTGACTGAAAAGGAAGGAGCATGCAAAACATTGGACAAAGTTACAGAACCAGTACGAGCGAAGTGGATGCCTCCTCAGTCCCACTCCTCAAGTTTCCATCGCCTGCTACTTGTTGTTTTTTCCTGTGTATCGTCAGGAGAGCACGATCCTCCTCTGTAAAGACCACCTCAGCTTCTTCTTCTTCTGCTACCGTCAGATTCGCCCGATTTCCTGCTCCTCTTCCACCTCGTCGACCCCCACGGCCACGACCACGACCTCCGAACTGTCCACGTTCACCCGAATCTCCTTCATTGGATGGCTTGGTGCAAGCATGTCTCAGATGACCCACCGCACCGCAGTTGTAACACTGTCGGGTCTCTCCCCTAGATCCAGTGTTGCTAGAGGCTGCCA